TTATTTTGGCCAACTTCCACTATTTTCTATGTGTTTCCTGTTTCCCGACTAGTCTCTGCCAGGCACCGCGGATCGTTGGAAAAATAGTATAAATTGGCCAAAATAAAGGGATAATAAAGGGTCGCAAATTGGACCCTCTCTGGCCGGCAAACTCCCCTGGCATACTATCCCCTTATTTTGGCCAACTTCTACTATTTTTTCAGCGATCCGCGGTGCCTGGTAGAGGCTAGCTTGATGGAGCCTCCCCGGACGTTCTCCCAGCCCAGACGGCGGGTTCTCCAGACGAACCCCGGCGATCTGAGTCGGCAAGGCGGCGGCTGCACTTTTTTTAAGGCCTAGGAAAAATGTTTTGTTTCCTGTTTCAGTCCTGAACAAAATAGGATCGGTGGGAAGGCTCTGGCGATCTCTAGTGGTTTGACTTGTACAATGCTGTTTAACAAAGTAAAAATTTCATTTTCAACCGATTGTACGATGTTTCACCACTCATGTGTCAGATCATGGAGCAGAAAAGGGTCAATCAGCTCGAAAAATAGGGCCACACAAAAAAGGCCTAGGTCGGTCGGGAAACGGGAAACACAACATTCTCTCCTAGGCATTAAAGGCCCTGCTGGATGCACGCAGCGTTTAATGGTCTGTTAATCCCGGAGTAACTTGTAAAACCACCAAAGACAATGCGGGGTGATTACCTAGCGGGCCCCGCGGGCCTTCTGATGAGCCGGCTGGCGTCTAGCTTCCTGGCCCGTCTGCATCTCGATGTGGAGGCGAATATAGCCTGGGTGCCAGACGCTGGCGTTGATTTGATTTTATTTGATTTATTGAAATTACAACAGTGCAACATTGCACCTGAACAGTGCAATACACGCGGAACAGAGGCAGCTATTGCTGGTGTTGTGTCCCGCACATAGAAACAAATACTGGACATTACTCATTTTCGCTTGAGTCTAGCGAGGAAAGTCGTGTTAAGTGCCTTTCCCAAGGGCACAAGATCGGTGGCATGTCAGGACTCGAACCCGGGACCTCTTGATTCTGAGTCGCGCACGCCGCCGTTGCGCCACACAACCCCAAGCTGGCGTTCATAAGCGATAGATTTTTTTTGTGGGAAGAAGCCATAATGTCCGCTACTGCTACAGTACCCGCCGCCCAAGGCCAGGCTGGCCAAAACCCTTTGTCTTGACGCAGAGATATTTTTTTAACGGTGTCGCTCAATGCAAGGCCAATTTGGCCACTTCTACGCATAGAGCTAGAGGTATAGAACTGTAACAGCAACTCTTCTCCCTGAGTCAGAAACATCATGATTGAGACCAGCTCAATTTCTCACAAGTAGTGAGGACTAACTGACCCAATAGGAGAGATGATTAGATAACTAGATAATTAGAGCCAGGGCACCAAATCGGGGTCGGCGGGGTGTATGGCTTCCCTGGTTACTAGTATCTCTCATTCGCGGTAGGGGCTGGCACCCAGGCTAGGAGGCGAGAGGCAGCACCCAGCTACTGTGACGACTGCGCTTATCAATCACGCCAGCTCAGTGTCACGGCTTCCGACTGACTTTTAGAGAAATTTAGAAAGTTTCCTGAAATACTCTCGCCCACAGCTTTAGCTGCAGTAGCCATCTCGCTATTGCCGGCAGCAGTCTTGTTGAAAGCTATTTTGTGTCTTTTGGTGTCTGTGCTCATACTGTATCCAGAACCGTGCCTTTCTAGTTCTACACCTGAACGGGTTAATGTTAGGATCAGGCACGGTTCTGGATAGTCTCCTCGTATCCAGGAACATAGATTTTGCCTCAGGCACGGTTCTGGATACGCGTGGACTATTGTATCCAGAACTATGTCTATCTAGTTCTTGACCTGAACGGGTTAGGGTTCTGGATAGTCTCTGTGTATCCAGGAACGACTCCGAACGTAGATGTTGCCCAAGACACAGTTCTGGATACGCTTGGACTATCCATAACCATGTATGAGCATGGTTCTGGATACAGCACGGTGCTGGATACGCGTGGACTACACAGAACTAAACCTTGCTTTAACATAGTTCAGGATGAAGCATGGTTCATGGTTATACAACAGTCACCTCAGCCACTGCCGTCCTTCGTGCAGAAAAGCAATCCGTCTTTCTCTGTCAGAGCTTTCCCCCAAACCATGCGTCATCCGAGTACCCATTTAACTGCGCGCCCGTGCCGGCTATTCTGGGCCGGGCTACATGATAGCATCATTTGTACGTGTTTCCGCTGTCAGCGGTTTTTATGGGCGGAATATTTACGTCATGAGTAACCGCCGTTAGCACCCGGGGAACGAGACGTTATACAGTCTGGCCGGCAATACGGTAGGCAGATTCAACACTAGTAGAAACCGCAAATACTTTAAATCACACAGAACAGTGGCAAAATGGGCATGTATGTGCCATAAAAGGCTCCAAATTCACTGCAAAAAAGCAACGCCACAGTCTCCGTCGGTCTACTCTGTTCTGACAAAGTGGGTTGAAAAACAGTAAAACTTAGCCAAATAGGGAGAATAATTGGTCAGTGGATTTTGGCAACCGTAGAGTTCATCTAACCTCCCACGGACTGACTCTTCTGGCAAATTACTTTGCATAGCTATATATAGTTATTTGCCAAATTCTACGATCTGTACTCCGAAGGAAGGCCTGGTGGAGTCTATATGTCTACTCTTATCAGTTTACTTGACTCTGCCAAGATTCCAAATGCTTGCGGCCGGATGACAGTAGAGGGAAGTGAACACGCACAGGAACATGCACCGTTGTCACACAAGGCTGTTGAGCTCAACACTCGTATCACAAAATCAGAATTGGTAAAACCCGAACCCTTCTGTCTCTGAACAGCCAGGCAGTGAGTGCTCCCAGG